TGGCATTCTGTTAAACACAAATAGAGGAAGTTTTAAATGAAAGTTAAAAAGTTTTAGCATTGGGAAAATATGAGTTGTAAAGGTTCTTAAAATCAATGTGCTAATTGGAAGCTAAAATATTCTTAAAAATGGATCACTTAATTTGCTTTTGTTGGATCATTAGAAAATCTGTTTTATTTTTAACCATTTATCATGATTACCCCCTTGCCAAAAAAAAAAAGAAAAAAAAATATATTTTTCATATTCATTCACTGCTGGTTTTGTTTTATTTGGGTTTATTTGATTTTTAAGGTTTTTTTTTTTTTTTTTTTTTTTTTTTTTTCAATAAAATTTGTCAATTTTATTAAAAGAAAAAAAGGAAAATAAAACTGGCTTGGTGTTATTTATTTCTGTAATATTTGTATCAAAGATTTTATAATAGGATATTATTTTAAATTTTTTTAATGATAATTTTAAATTTTTTAATGATAATGATAATGATAGAAATTTATTTGTGAAAATTTATGGCCATTTGTGAAAAAAACAATTCTGTCTTATGAAATGTGTTTTGTAAAGGGTACCATATTTTTTTATGTTTTTTTTTAGATTTTTTGTTTCTTTTTGTAGACACTAGTTTCTGTACTTTTTTTGTGTAAACATTAAAAATGTCATCTTGTTAAACATGCTATTCATGATAAAATGGACTAAAAAGGCAGTGAGGCTAACAAGAAATTCTGGTTACATTTTTGACATGATCACTTAAAGAGTATTTTTTCAATACTTATGGTAAAATAACTATTTTATATTTTAATGTTTTTCTTTCTTTGCAGATTGTAGATTTTTTTATTGCATTTTATCCTATTAAAATGAATTTAAATCAGACACACATAGCAGGCCCTGTATGCTGTATGGATTCCAAAATAGGCACATCAGTGGAGGTAACAAGAAATATTTGCTTTATAAAAATGAAACTTTAAGAGCCTGAACTTGCCAAAGATGGTTTCATCAGTTTTAATCAGGGAAATTTTTCTCTCAAACTGAATGACCAATTTTCTCTCTTCTGCAAACCATAGAATTAGCAAGAGTTCAATGCAAGTTACACCTTGAATATAAAATACCTTCATGAACTCTCAAAAGTATCTGCATCTTGGTCAATGGGTTCACCATCATCTGACTGCTTCTCAGTTTAATTAAAGTATTGTCTGCTGCTCATCATTGACTTGCTAGCAAACCTTTCCAGTATGATATGTGAAGTTATGCTCTGTGTTTGGTGTGATATGAAGGGTGTCGTCTATTATAATGTGATAGAACAAAACTGTTAATGCAGAGAAGTATTGTTGTCAGTTGGAAGCATTGCAGAAAAGGTGGCCATCATCGGTTAATTATAAAGGTGTGTTATTCTTAAGATAATGCAAAAACCACATGGCTTGATTTTTCTCAGGAAAAGATTATGGCAATTTGCTTCATCCTTCTTACTCTCCTGACCATCTATTCAAATTATTACAATATATATTTGTTTATTGTGAAGAGGTTAAAACTGAAGTTAAAATTGAGTATTTCTTTGCAATGAAATCTGTTGTGCCTGATGGATTAGCAATTTGCCAAATAGATAAGATTATATTAGCAATAATGAAAGGAAATGTTATCTTAATAAAGCATTTGTTTGTTTCCAACCTAATATAAAAGTTGTATAGGATTGGCAAAAAAAAAGTCTGATTTTGACATTAAATGGCATGAGGAACATTTTTACAAATTTATTCAAGATTACTTATGATTGTATTGTGACACATTTGATACTGGTAGCAATCAAATAATCAGAAATTTTATTTTTCAATTTGGAATGCAAGAGATCATGAAATGTACCAATTGTACTACAATCCAAAACTAAAGACAGCATTTCTTTGTCAACTTTGAAGGAGATAACTTCAAACTCAACATGAGTTATGTCCCTTAGTAGATTTCTTATCTCCAAAGATTAGTTAGACTCGTTTTTCTTTTGTCTCTTTAGCAAACTGAACTATCAGCAGTCACACATGTAATTTCAATCTGTGCTGAATCCAAGTAAGTCAATATCCATCTGTATGTATTCTTAATATGTCATTCTGTTTTGTGCTATCATTTTTACTAATCATATTAATCATATACACTTTAGAAGCAACATTATTTGGCCATGAGGGGCCATTTTCACATTACGTACAGGCAACACTTTATTCAAGATAAGACCCTGTCTCATATTACAACTAGTTCACATCCTATAACAGATGTATGACAAGATCACAACAGGTGATCAAGCCCAAATTGTTAGGGCTGGGAAGTTTATCATCTGTGATATTCAGTACATATTGCACCCTTAGATTAACACTTACATAATTCTTGTGATAGAAAAAAATGCAAAAGATATAGTTTATTCAATAAAGTTACTGCCTTTTTGTTTATTTAAACCAACTGAGAATTTTGTCCAACCTCATAATTGAATTTTTATTTTACTGTCTGTGAAGAATTTGATTGTTCAGGCAGGAGAAAAGCAATGTTTTTACCTGGGTTGGTTTGATTCTTACTAACTAGAAGTTGTTACATTTTTACTAACTTTTTATTGTTACAGGGGTCATGTGACTTTATTACCCAGTGATTACAGAAGTAGTTATAAGGGAGGGGAAGTGTTTTTTCCTACTCACTGTTTACGAAAGTTATTAGACTGTTGCTTTACATCACAGAAAGGAATCTTATTTTGAAAGGTAAGTGCTTTTGCTTCTTTTCCTTGGCCTGAACCATTTCTAGATTTTTGGGGGTTGAGATTTTCTTAACATGTTCTTTACTCATACCTTAATATTCTGCCATTTTGATGTGAATTTGAAAAGTTAAAATATTTTGTACCTTTATTCAAAGATTTGTCAAAGAGAGGAGATTTAGTATTGATTTTTATTTATTTTTTTACATACAAATCAGTGTTTGTTCTATGAAATAATTGAATCCTAATTTTAAAACGAAACCGAAATATTGTGTATTCAAATTCACTTATTTTGGCTATCCAAATTCTGATTAAAGAAAACTTCATTCATGAAAGGATAATTTTATCTTTTTGGCTGTTCCATTTAAAAAATTATACAAATTTCAATAGAGAAAATGATAAAGCAGTGAGAGGCTAGCAATGTTTAATCTGTGGGAAAGGGGATGTAGGGTGGAAAACAATTCATCACTCACAAAAATTCTTTTGAACTGTTACGAGTGAGCAGGTCGTGCCTAGATGGAGCAGCAATACTCCACTTTTGGTTTGGTTTGATCTGACTCGTAAAAATAGAGCATGGTAAAGGAATCAGATATTTTTAAGAGTGGTATCTTATCTCCTATAATTTATTTCATTTGTAAAATTTAAATAATCATCTTTTCTGAACACATTTTTCTTGAAAAAAACTTCAATTTTTGTAAAATTCACAGCTTATTTATTAAAAATGTTTAAATACCACAACTTTAATAATTTACTTTGACTTCTCAATCTCTTAAGAAAAGCTCTATTGATCAATAGTGTGTGTGTGTGTGTATGCATATATATAAGTAGATTTAAGGTGAATTAGTTGTTTTGCTTTTTGGCGTTAGTTTTTCTTCTCAAAAGATGTTTTTTTCTGATCTTGAAGGCATGTTAAGTAAATATCTATACCACAGAAATATTACAACTTTAAAAAAAAAAATAGTATCTTACCTTGGCTTAAAGTAAGTTACCCCTTTTCCTAGATTATCTGGTACTATGAAAATCTACAAGTTCTATACATTGTCTTATTTTAAGGTAAACCAAAAACTGATGAAATTCTTTTTAATACTTGTGTAAAAAGATTTTTTTTAAATGTTTTGTCCAGTGTAGAACTTCTAATATTTGGTTGCTAAGATCCAAATCAGTATCTTTATATTTCAACAGCAGACCGCAACTGTTATGGCAACTTTTAATAAAATAATGTTGACTGGAATAGACAGCTGATAAATGAAACAAATAAAAAGAAGACATTTTATTTCATCACTGTTTGAATTATACAGCACATTTGATATGAGTTACTGTAATAACAAAGCATCAATAGAGATTAACAAAAACACAAATTTGAATTAATTATGCTGCAAAACTCCACAAGAACAATGATCATAATTTAGTTATTCATTTATGACATTTAACACTTACAAGGATGTAAGGTTAGATATATTAACTAGGATACAAACATCAATTCATTTAAATCTATTCCTTTCATTTTGTGGAGTATTTAAGATCACGACTTGTCAACAGTAGAATAAAAATTGACCAAAATGAATCAACATGGAGAAAAGTGGAAGTAAACAGCTAGAAAGTGCAGTAGTCAAAAGAAAATTTCAACAACTGATTTGAGAGTGTTCATTTACAAGAAAAAGTGAACTAAAATTTGTGGTTTCAATACTGATTTAAACTTACAATTTTATATAATTTGATAACATACATGAATTTAAATTTATCAAGCTGAAATTAGTCATGGCAAAAACTCAATTTTATTTGTAATAAAAATTGTTCAAATTTCAGCTGATTTATTTTATTAAAAAATTCTGAATTTTGGGGGGGGAATAAAATGATTTTGCCAATTTTCTGAGCATTTGTTGGATGAAGTAATTTATGATTTAAAAAACATTAATAAATATCTATCAATAAATATCTAAAAATCTTTTTCATCAAGGGTAAAAAGATTAAACAATTTTGTTGTTGAACAAAATTTGATAAAGGTTAAATTCTTTAACTTCAAAAGTATCAAGCTTCCTTGTTAAATAACCTAATAAATAGTATATTTTACATTGAAAATAAATCATTCAAAACAATCAAATGTCTATTCTCTGTGTTTTTAAGTTTTTTCCCTTTTCAAAGAAACTATATTTGTTCTTTATTAATATAATTTGTATTGTTGCTGTTTATATAATCAAGGCCTGTCATTGGATTGAAATTGTGTTGGCAGTGAGATCAGCAACTTTCATTCTGGAACTAAGGCAGTAAATGTTGTGAAAATCTTGATACAAATTCATTCCTTCAGACTTTTCAAAGCAGCAGTGAATCGCAAAATTTCAATTAATGACATATTTAATTTCTCCAAGCTTTTATAAAAGAATTCTGGAGCCTGAAAAATAAAAAGTAAAATATTTTTTTACTGAAAAAAACCCAAAAAAAACAAACCACTAAAATCAAAATTTATTAAATAAATTTGTTGGATGAAGTAATTTATGATTTAAAAAACATTAATAAATATCTATCAATAAATATCTAAAAATCTTTTTCATCAAGGGTAAAAAGATTAAACAATTTTGTTGTTGAACAAAATTTGATAAAGGTTAAATTCTTTAACTTCAAAAGCATCAAGCTTGGTATTTGATATATTTGAAACTTTTCAATTTTCAAATGGATTATTTAAGAGAAAGAATTCTTTTTTCATAAATTTACAAGAAACTTATTTGGGTGTTCATCTATTCATATTATCTTCATCTTTTAGTAATGCTTGATTTTTTTTTTTTTTTTCTGAGCATTTCTTACCAAATCCTCAGTAGGAACAATTTACAGATCTGAAGAACAATGGTTTTAGCCAATACAAAGTATTTCTGTTAGTCTGGGAAAAAAAAAGAAAAATTGGAAAAACTTGCTAATTCTTGTATAACATATCTGTGAAACTTTAATAATCAGTTCTTTGGGCATCAAATTCCAGTGTCTACTTAAACTATTTTTCTGACAAATTTATTTGTGCTACTTCATACAACTTGTGCATAATTCCTTGCCTTTTTGACATTATTCCAAAGATCATTTGTGCTTTTTTCCCTTTACATATGTAACACAGCACTGGCCCTGTTTAAATGTTTAATTGCTTGTAATTGTAAGATGGTGATTTCGCGGGACTACTAACTAGATAATAATTATTAAAGTTCTCATCAGGTTGAATGGTTGAAAAACAAAAAACAAAATGAAATGGCTTAAATATTATATTTTAAAACAATAAAATGAATTTAAGAACAGTTCCAAGGAGAATCAAATCCAGAATTAACTAGCCAGGATGCAGTAAAATTGAGCAAAATCAAAGTTCTCCACCCTATCTACTTCCCACCAATAAGAAGACATGATTAATGTATTATATGAATTTTTGGTTCTGAGAAATTAAGTTTGGGTGTTTGATTACATTATACTATCTATCCAAAACATGTGCATTCTTGGAAAAAAGAATGATGCAAATTTTTCCAGACAAAGAAAGCATCTGGATTTTGTTTAATTCTCAAGCTTGGGAGTTGCTTGTGTTGATGTCAGTCTCAAAACACCATCATCTTTACAGAAATAAAGGACAGAGAATTCTAATGACAAAAGCAAAGACCATGTTGTTATTAACAGACCTCCTAAGATTAAGACAGTCTGAGTGGAGAAATTCGATATATCAGTGTAAAATTGGTGGTGGTAGGTGTTCATCTATATAAACAAGAGCCAACCAAGCCTAAAGACAGATGGAGATGAATGCAGGAGGAAGTCAGCTTGGAGCTGCCTAGGATTGTAAAGCAGTCATCACTAAAGAACACACCCACAATTTCTATGGCCAGAGTGAAAACACAGGCACATGCATTACAGAAGAATTAGAGTTAACTAGCTGGTTATTACTTTAGTATTTGCTACTAAATTTCTCAAATCAGCATCTGGCTGTAGAGAACTTGATTTTTTTTTTTTTTTTTAAATAATAGAAAAATTTAATTCACTAGTTTTTCTTTATATTCAATAAACCTGTTATTAGAGTTACCAACAGTGTTGTAAATTTTATTGAAGGAATTCTTATTTCAGCTCGATTTTGATGTTGCCCTTGGACAAAAAGAGACAAAAGTTACCATAGTTGTAAACTGAAAATTATTCCTTGTTAACTATGGTGCACAACATACACAGAGGGGTCTACACTAGACTTTGCTATCAATCCAATATTGTAAGATTTTGGGAAACCCAAATCAACAATATTGAGATGACACACTGGCCCCAACCAAGTAAGGAAAAAGCCGGATTACCTGTAAGGTCGGTATTACTCAACAAAACTAACAACTGAAGAAAAGAGATGGAATAGAAGACAGTAAGTCGAGGATATGGGTTATATATATATATATATATATATATATATATGTCCTGACCAATTTCATGGTAATACTCTTCAAGCAATTACATGTTATACATACTGTTCTTACTCATATTTACCTAGTATATAGAGATATGACTTTTTAAAGAGTTCATTCATTGTACTTTTGCTATGAAAAGTACACTGATGTTTTACATTCATCATAAGTTCTCTGGATTACATTAGTCAAAATGTTAACAGATGAGTTTTGTCATTCCAATCTAAATATTTTATGAAATAAGAATAATAATTTTAGACAATATATAGGCTTGTTATGAAAATAAGGTTTTCAGGTTCTAAATAAAAAATTATCCCTGAAATCAACATGAAGTAGCAAGCTTCAAATGTAATTCTCTATCTTACAAAATAGTATAGTGGTTGAATTATTACTCCCATAAAGAGTATAATAAAATTGATTTTTCACTGTTCATGCTAGTTAATGTTTTGTCCAATATAAACAGCAAAATTATGAACATATAAAAAAATTATATTTATGACATTAAAGTTTCAATAATATACTAATAGCATTGAATATTTAATTGAAATATTTGAAGTTTAGGGCTTATGACTATCAGTCTTACACAGTTTTAAAGTTCAAAATTCATCCTTATTTAAATATTTTGTGTAATACTATAAAGAACTATAAAGGATTTTTTAATAAGGTACTGAAAAATTCTTTCCTTTTTAAAATTGATTTTAATACAAAGCTTTTCTCATCCTAACTACTAGAACGTATTACAAATACCAGAAAGTGATGCTTCATATTGTCTCTAAGATAAAGTAACCAAACCAAAACAAGACTTTAATATGTTTATACAATAAGCTTGAATTTCATTTTGAGCATTGTTATTGAACTGTTCCTCACTAAGTGCTTCATAAATATGGCTTAGTCCAGAAGATACTTACCTCTTTTCTCATTTCATCCAGTTGTAATAGCATTACTCCATCAAATTGTTCAAAAGCTTGAATACATCTGTAAGAAAGAAATGGCAAACATGAACTTACATGCCTACAATAAGATAGTGTCAAAAGGATGACACCACTTTCTTTGGCAATGTTTACTGTTTAAAAAAGTGATGATTAGAATTGGAAACCTAAACATATGATGAAAGTAAATTTATAAATTTTTTTTTCTTGAGAATTTACAACAAAAATACTAAACACTATTAGATTGTTAATTTACTAGAATAATTTTATATTTACAACATTCTAAAAACTAATACAATTAATGCAATGAAATACTTATCATTTACCAATTTATAAAGAAATAAATACAAAAACAATTTTTTATTTATAAATTTATAAACATTTACTAAATTATTAAAATATGTGAACCAACTATAAGAAAATTTTTATTACTTACCATTTTATAAAGTTTGAAACAATTGGCTGATATTTTCCAACCATTCCAATAAATAATATTGTAAATAAAAAGTCTGATAAATAATGTTTATTATTTTTGTTGTGAATTCTCAAGAACAAAGAAAATATATAAATTCACTTTCATCATGTTTAAATTTTATTACAATTCTAATCATCAAACATCACTTTTTGAAACAATAAACATTGCTGAAAAGTGAAGATAGCTAAAAAAAAAAAAGTCGTGTCACAGGAAAAATTGTCTTTTTGACACTGTTTTATTGCAGGCACATAAGTCCATGTTTGCCAAAGAAATCTTGTGTTATTCTATAACAATTTGTCTCAGAAAATAAAATTAGATATAAAACTTATTTTATATCTAGATATATCTTATAAACATAGATTATATCTATATCTAATTATATCAAATTATTTTATATCTTATTTATAACAGTTGAGATAAGGAGAAAATTTTCAAGAATTGTTTATAGAAGTGTTATCTCTGCTATAAAATGTTACCTCTTGGTACAATAGCCAGAAATATAACATGTATGTGTATTCTATAACCAACTAAACAAGAGATTGTATCAGTTGTCCATTTAAAATATAATTATTTTGTAACATAGATATGTTAAAATACATTAGTAAGCAATTTAATCAGTTATCTCCCTTTAAAGTTCACTACGGTTCCTTTAACTAAGAGTTAAACATTTCTGTTTTTCTACCATCAATAAAACCATGCAAACAGATGTATGAATTTTTTTCATAATTTTTTTACTCACTCATTCAGTTTATTTTCTCGAAGCCATTGTACAACTTGTTTATTTGCCATTTCATGTACAGGAGAAACACAATTTGCAATTTTAACAACAAGTTGTTCAGTTTGTTTCTGTTTGGGTGAAGAAGTGCTTTCTTTGAGACTGCTATCAGAGTGGTCACGGGATTTGTCTGTTTGTTCAGAGATGTTTTCTGTTCAAAGGGAATAGGAATAACACAACATTAAAAAAAACTTTAACATAGAGACATATATAAGGTAATTCTGAAAGGTTCTGAGCCTATTCAATCTGACCAAATACTTTTTTGAAAGTGTTTCCAAGTAGGGCTGGGAACTTTTCAATGTCTCCTCATAGATATTGTAACATTATTTTTATTATAGGCAAGATTTATGTAATGCTTTATAACAATAAATAGTATCTAAGAGATATTTACTAAATGTTATCTGGTAGAGGATCAAAATAAGTGTAGGGGTTAGTTAACACCCTACTGCATTTATATTAACACAAATGTAATAACATAAACAACGAGAAAAATAACAAAGTTCAAGGCAAAATATGCATTAACAATTAATAGATTATATTTATAAACAATAACAAGTACAATGTTTGTTGAGTGTAGTATTTTAAATGTTTTTGTGTTTGATGATTTGAATGTCAATTATTCAGATCAAAAGGTTGTCTGTTGTTAAAATGTATGCTCAAATATAAGAAAGTATATTTCAGTATTTAGGTATTTATGGTGAAGTTAAAACAGTTTATGTTTGCAAATAATTAGTGTAAATTTCAAAAGACTTACTGAGAGTTTGAAAGGGTTATCTTTCTTTGATCAGATATTTTTATTGAGTTTGGTTGTGTATTCAAGTTGTAAGTTTGTTTGAAATAATATATATTGCACACTGAGTGTTATGTTAAAAATAGGCTTTTAATGTGAAGTCTGAATATTGAATTAATGACACATGTGGACTGGCGTTGGGTAGAAAATTTCCCTCCTCACTCCTAAGGAGTGATTTAAGTGTCACTGAGGTGAATGAAGAAAACAGTAACCAGCGAGTAAATTCAAGCTCTCCCAACTGGTATTTCAAACTTGAGTTGTTCCTTCCTGAGTTCTGTCTCCAAATCACACTAACTGCCCGTTCTAGCCGTCAACCGTGAACGTCCCTCGAAGAACTAATATTTATTTATATTAAAAATACAAAATGTGGCACATGGCCAAAGGGGGATGGGGAATGACGGTCTTCTTCTGTCTTTAATCTAAAACTTAGCTAGTCACAGACACTGACCCAAACATGCCAACAATAATCCAATCACCAAAACATCACATTCTACTCCTACCTTTCTTACTACGTCCACCATAATACCTCACTTTCTCTATGACGTCCTAAATAGTCCCCTTATATACAAATATTGTTCATGGGGGAGGTCATAAAAATAACAACTTTTAAAATCCCCAAATGAATATTTACAAAATGAAATAATTATTTACAATAAACTAAACAAAACTGAGTTAGTAATAAAACCCCCCATAAACTATGAATGTGGCAGAAATATCAGTTAACCGGACGAAATCGATGCGGGACTAAAAAAAAAGAGTACACATTCAAACCATCAAGCATTCACACAAACACTCACTCATTCATACACAACAACAAATACGAAAACACACACACGAAACGAAAGGCGTCCTGCATCCACCGGAAAACTGACATCACTAACCACCTAACGAGGGAGGGATGGGGAATTAAACAAAAAAGTAAAAATAGGGACAGAAATAAAAGGGACCAATGAGCTTACATACCCTAGCTAAGTTAAACGGGAAAAAAAATAGGAAAACTAAATATTCAACAACAAAAACCTAGTCTAGCCTAATATCGGGTGGGTTGCCTCTGTTCAACCCTGTTAGGACAATATTCTGTGCCTAACCGACATCTAAATGCCACTCTAGGTCAGCCCTTTCACTCTACACATTTCGCGCAAGATTCACCCCCTTTTGCTGAATTCTGATGATGGGAGCCGCCGCCTTTCCGTCCTAATCTTGACTTTAAGCTGATGCCTAAAGTACAAGATCAGTTGGGAAGAGATGAACTTTCGCCTTCATAGAATCCCTTCTGTGCGTCGTCCAAATCACGACTCGCATAACCCCTAGTAAGCAACAGAACACATAGTGTTCAGCCTTCGTCAATTGGGCAATACCACATTGCTACAAACAGAACTGGCTTCCAGGACAAAAAAAACTTTCCCTGCAGCATGCGAACCATGAGGCCTTCAACAAACTTGCACAACGGCACTACCGCCTTGCACTGAAAAAAGGCGTGACCAACGGTCTTGACATTCCCAGTACAGCGACGACAGTTTGGATATTTCTCAAGCCTGCTGAACAAAGTCTTTTGCCGACCCAGAGGGGCCCCACGAATCATCAGCCAGGTGAGTGATGCCTCATCGTTATTGAGACATTTCAACCCAGGCGCCCAAGGCCATATCGAGCGAGCCTCCTGCTTCAGAAGACCGAGCTCGTCGATCAGACCATCTTGAACGGACCCCTAACTAAAACTTGATATAATGCCTTACGAGACAACGCTTGGGCGTTGGAGAGGCCATCCGACGTCCTAAAGAGGAGCTTCAAAGCACGCGACATTCACGGTAAAAGGAGCACTCGCCACGAGGAGTACGACGGCCTCCTCCTCGCACGAGTGCACACTTCTCAGGGATGGGAAATGTTTACGGACATCTTCTTTCCAAAAGGTGCCCACCTCATCCAAACCGCGACACATTCGGTCTAGAAAGGTAATCGTAGCATATATTGACGAATCTCAATGCTAGGCATCCCCAGACCGCCCTCAGAGGGATGAAGGCAACAGATCTCGCGAGATACCATATTTTGCCTCTCCACAAGAAAGAGAACAAGGCCTTGACTAATGATATTAGTCGGGCATACGGGAGTGGAAGCACAGAAAGACGGTAGAGGAGGATCGGATAGATGTGTGAACCACAAACTTCCGCCCTTCCCTTCAGGGAAAGTCTCCTCCGAGACCACAGACTAGCCGCGACCTCGGCCCGCCCTTGTACCTCCGACCAATTCTTTTCCAACTGGAGATCAGGACCCGAACCAGACGCCGAGTATCTTGATCGCCCATCCGTCCAGAGGAAAGGTCCGGGAAGAGAAACTCCCTTCCACGCACCCAACCGCAAGCCCACAGACTTATCGCGGTTGATTTTGGCCCCTGTCACCATCTCATACCCACTGATCTGCTTACTGACTTCGTTAATCTCGGCTCTGCTCGACACAAGAACCGAAACGTCGTCAGCATAGGCAGAATACCTGGCCGAGGTGGAAGCACCAGGCAGCGAAATTCCGCGTGGGACCGGATTCGCCTTTAACTTGCGAAGGAAAGGCTCCAACGCAAGAACGTAAAAGCAGAGGCGAAAGCGGACAACCTTGACGAATGGAGCGAGACAATACGAAGGCTTCGATCTTACCCCATTCACTTCCACCAGCGCACGGGGGTCGCATACAAGAGTCGGATCCAGGAGCGAAAGTCGGCTCCGAAACCGGCCGCCGAAAGGACAGCCTCAGAAATCGATGGTCAACCCTATCGAAGGCCTTGGACTGATCTAAATTGATCAGCGGCTTCACTGTCGACTTGTTCTAAGATCAAGCGTACCATATGAAGGTTATCCTGAATAGTCCTGCCCTTCACAGCACAAGTCTGTTCAGGGCCAATCAGACTAGACAGGACAAGCTGCAAACGGCTGGCTAAGATCTTCGCCAAAATCTTTAAGTCAGTGTTTAACATTGTTAAAGGGCGAAAGTTCCCTAACCCATCCCCACCGTCCTTGTCCTTACGCAGCAACTTGATGACACCTCTGGTGAAGCGTTGAGGTAAAGACCCCTGCCTCATCCAGTGGTTGTACATCAGTTCCAGCAAAGGAACAAAAAACGGGCGACAACCTCAAGTAAACTTCATAGGGAAGACCATCTAATCCCGGAGACTTATCCAGGCCAACCTGCTTCAGCGCTTCCCAGATTTCCGACCCTGTTATGGGACCCTCGCACCTAGCCACTTCAGCTGCCCGAGGCAGGGAAAGTCAGCTAAATAGGCGTCGAACTGAGCAGAGCTCAGACCGGGCTCCCTGGTGAAAAGCTCCTGAAAGTAATCTCGAAAGACCTCACATATGCCCGCGTTTGTAGTCACGGTCCGCTTATCCGGTAATGTGACGCGCTATATATCGCCCTGGCCGCGTTTCGATTTTCCTCTACACGCAGTTCAGCGGCCATATTCGTTGCCTCAGAAGACATTCTTTTTTAACCTAGCCCTAACTACCAGAGCTTGATCCTTCTTGATAAGCAAGGAGGCCAACTCTGCCTTAGCTAAGACTATGTCCCCACTAACACGGATTTAACGGCCCGATCAACTCTTTCTTCTAAAGCCGTTTGCGCTAATTTATCTAAATTGAGCCGACGACTAAAATCGGCAGCAAACGTTCGAATCTTAGATTTTAAATTGCCCCACCAGGCATTTCCCACAACCGCCCCGTCAATTCCCTCTGGATCGTTAGTAGCAGCTGGTCCCGGAAACCCTGATCACTGAAAAGCGAACAGTTCAATTTCCAGTAACCAGCCAACCTAACCTTAGGTTTATCTAAGTTTACACGGACCCGGACAAGCCTATGATCCGTATAAACTATATAATGGAAACTTGGACACCCTAAGAGCCCTACATCGACTCTCCTAACTAAGACTCGGTCCAGGTAGCTCTTAAGCAGCCAGGAGCCGAGCTGCCACTAGTTGTCCAAGTCCATACTACCTCGAGGGTGTTCATTCCGGAACTTATCGACAAGATCAAACCCATCGATAAAGTCCCGAAATGGTTTCACATCCGGGTTTTTAGTACCTTTTTGTGCCCTATACGATCTATATCGGGGTCAAGGACGGCATTCCAATCCCCGCTAAAACTACCCGACGAGACGTCGTCAAGAACGGCGCGATCTGGTCAAACAAAGCAGGCCGCTCGGAATGGATATTGGGCGCATAAACCCCAATGAGACGAAGAGCCTTATTCTTTATGGTAACATCCAGCACGCAAAGCCTGCCCGCCGGATCGCGAAGACAAGGGTACATGCAGCCTTCAAAGACCTGCTCACTAGCCAAGAGACACCCCTCGAACAACCATCAAAACAAGCTGAATAAAGGGCGAA